CCGCAACACAGTATTTTGCCACTGCATGTGTGATAGAAGGATTTGAGTCTTGGAGGAGAAAGCCTACATAAAAATTGTCTGCCCTCCCTGGCAATCTCTCTAATAAGGGGAGAATATATACTGTCCTATAAACTTGGTATAGCTCACAGTACAATAAAACATGTGAGATATCTTCGACTTCTCCTTTACCACATATACAGACCCGTTCTGCTATTGGTGTTCTCTTATACCTGCCCTGTAGGAGTGCTGAGGGAAGACGGGGACTCCATAAAGCATTTAATTATGTCCTCACTGTCATGTGCGTAAAATTGCCTAGCATCACTCATACACCGCAAGATGATGGATTTTAGAGGTGGGCTCCATCAGCTCCCATTATTCCCAATTTATTGTTGGGGTGGGGTGAAATTGTGAATTATTTTTAATCGTGAATAATGAATGTTGTGCACTGCCTGGAGTCTCTCTGTTGAGCTGGGCGGCTATAGAAATGTGCTTAATAAATAAATAAATAATGAATGAATGAATGAATTAGTCCCAGCCAGCAATAGCCTTTGGTCTTGGAGGGAACAGATGGGGGGGGGGAAGCAGGCTGAGAATAGAAGCAACTGGAAAATACGATCTCAGCTCTCCGGCTCAAGAAAACCGACAAAGGAGCCGCTTCGGCTGTCTTCTCTCTCAGCCACCCTTTGTGTTCCCGTCCTCCCCCATGGATCCCCTCCCAGGGTCTCTGAGGAGCCCAACCCTCTTTTTTGCCTTTCCAGAATTCACCCACGCTGGGCAGAGTCTCATGGGGGAGGACCCGATGGGAGAGGAGCTCCCGGCCAAGAAGGGCAGGAGGAACCGCTTCAAGTGGGGCCCGGCGTCACAGCAGATCCTCTTCCAAGCCTACGAGAGGCAGAAGAATCCGAGCAAGGAAGAGAGGGAGGCGCTGGTGGAGGAATGCAACAGGTACTGGGGAGACGGACACGGCCTCGCGCCTGTCCTGCGGCCGCCTGTCCCCCTTTGGATCCCTCTTGGGAGCCTCCCGTAGGCCACCACTGGAAAGGCCCTGCCAGCCAATGGCCTCTTGATCCAGCCCCACAAGATGGAGTCCTTCTCTTTGTGGTCAGCAAGTGAATTCCTCCTCCGTAGGCCAAGTCCAGCAGTCTAGATACAGCTGGGAGGGAGGGTTGAAATGTCATTAATTTCCCTCAGTCAAGCAAGAAAAACTGCCCCACAAAAAGGGAGCAAACGCTCCTTCACCCTCCCATCTCTCTTTTGTTCCAAATTCACTTTAAACAACCAACCAAACCTGACCTTGAGGCAAAAAACGAAAAGGAGGACACTGAGAGATTCAGCACAATCATAGTTAGTTAGATTACAATTAGCACAGTGCAGAATAAATACACGAGAGCTTCCCTGGGCTATTCGTGGCAAAACCCTTCAAATTTATTTGTTTTTATTTGGTTTTTTTTATATTCTGTTTTTATTATTTTTACAAATAACTCACGGTGATGAAAACCTTCCTCTTCCAATTTTCCTCACGATAACAACCCCGTGAAGTGGATTGGACTGAGAGGGACTGGCCCAAAGTCACCCAGCTGGCCTTTATTCCTCAGGAAGGACTAGAACTCCCAGTCGCCTGGTGAATGGCTCAAAGTCACCCAGTCAGCTTTCATGGCTAAGGCAAGATTTGAATTCATGGTTTCCTACTTTCTAGCCTGGTGTCTTAACCGCTAGATCAAACTGGCTCTCTTCCTAATCTGGAGAAGCATTTCAATGACAATTTGTCTGTTCTGAAGACCCGAATCTTGCGAAATATGCTGGGCTCCTACCTGAGCATTTTGAGGTTCATCAGCACCTGTTCTGGCGCTCAATACTTACCTGCAATTGCATGTTGGGCTGAATAAACCATCTTTTGGGATGGTGGTCAGCATGGTGTATATTCTTTTTGAGGACTGGTTTGAATAGTTTGCCGAAGTGATGCACCATATCCTTTGAACCTGGTTCACTTATCGGCTGAGCCATAAAACAGTCTGCTGGGTTTGGTTTAATGGGCTATGTAAATCCAGCAATTGTGGCTGATTACTCGTAATTTACGGTTTAGCACAAGTGAGGAACCTCTGTGGAAGGAAGCCAATTGTTATAGCCTGGGGTGTGCTTCGCGTGCTGTGAACTGTGATCCTTCTGCCTTGAGCACACCAAGGTTGCATGAGATACCAACCACGTTATCAGCTATCTTTCTCTAGAGACAACCACCGCAGATTCTTGGAGGTCA